ACACCATCTATACAAATGACCACCTGATAGAGACAAAATTCAGTTGGTGGTGCGATTAATAATATCACTTCATAGTTCTATTCGAAGATAATAATACAATTATTAAAACTATTTCAGGATAATAATACAATTGTTTAAACTATTTTAAGATGTAGCTTATATGATATATCACGATTTGAAGTGGGGCCAAAAGCTGATTATAAACTGACATTTATCATAGTCGCATGTTTGACGTAGAAATCGAATTTTAAAGCTGCAATTTCATATTTTTAAGTTATATTTTTAAAATTTATTAAAATAGATGGTATCCATAAACAGTCCTACCTTGTTAAAGAATAATCCTATAAATCCTATAATTCACTATTGCCAGTTGAGAAATTGGCAAAAATATCTTTTTCAACATTAAATTCAAGCGTTTGAAGATAGCTATTCCATTGGGGGGGGGGGGGGGATAGAAATACAAGGGAGGTAATTGTGTTTTATTTCCGGGGTCAAAGGATTTTTAAGAGGGAGAATAATACCTATAATCGTATAATAGTGAATTGACAACCTATTGAGCAAAAGGCATAGCACTAATTATGTTTTGATTTTCTTAGAAAATATGAAATTATCGTTTTAAAGGCATGGGGTCTTAATTTTATTTTAAGAAAAAATCTAAACTGAAATGTTTGAATAATACAGCCTTTCGATTAGCCAAGACCGCGTTAGATCATAAGGTCTGTCATTTAGTCAATTCCGTGGTTACGAATCCCCGATTGTACGTGGCAACGAGCAGGGTCGCCTGTCCAGCCTCGTGGGGTTTCTTCGTGTCCTTTGATTTCTTCCCACGGCTAAAGACCTCTACTTTACGCACAAACAAATTATAGAAATAGAGAGAGAGAGAAATGGGGTTTAACGTCCACTCGACCTAAACCAGGTCATTTCGGGACTAGCATACGGTTTAATTTTATTTCAATAATTCGCTTGCGCGTAGGGGTCTTTAGCAGTGGGAGGACCCGGAGAAAACCCACGAGGTTGAACAGGCGACCCTAGTCCTTGTCACGTACAACCGGGGATTCGAAACCACGGCAGTTGACTCAATGACAGGCCTTATGATACAGCGCGCGCGTGCTAACCATTCGGCCATCCAACCCCCCATTATAGAAATAAAATTGAACCATATTAATATCTAAGTTGAGTGGACGTTAAACTCCATTTCTCTCCCTCTCATTGGTCAAGAGCTAATAAGTGTGTTATGTGAGCTATGTTTGCACGTATAAGGCTCCTGAAGATCTAATTACCACATTTTCTAACAAAATATTAAAAGCTTATTCTCATTTATTTTAAATGTCCTTAAGATCTAATTAGAATTTATTTTCAACAAGGGTACTTTTGTTTTCTTCCACAAAATATTCCTAATTAGAAATATAAAGATCTAATTAGAATGTTAAAGATCCGAAGGCCTAATTAGAATTTAAAAGATCAAATTAGAATTTATAAGATCAAATCAGAATTTAAAAAAATAAATTTTAGAACGAATTAGAATTTAAAGAAAGAATTAGAATTTGAAAGGTTCACAATATCTAATTAGAATTTAAAAGATTCACAAGATCTAATTAGAATTTTCAACACCGGTACGGCCATTAAATTTCATTTTGTTTTTATATTTTTCTGACTCTTATCATTTATATTCTCATTTGTCTATTTATATAGTTTTTTTTAGCTGTATAGAAATGGATTTTTAAAAGTCCTGAAGTTCTAATTAGAACTGTTAACACGGTCGGTACTTGTGACGTGGTATCCCTACAACATTTAAAAGAAAACAATCCGAACAATTTTTTTTTTACCATTTTTCTCACAAAATACTGTATTTAGTGGGCAATTTTAGCGTATATATATTTAGAATTTAGTCATCTTTCAAGCTCACCTTTCTCACCTATAGGGGGTGGGGGTGGATAGCTGAATGGTTAGCATGCGCGTGATGTATCATAAGGTCTGTCATTAAGTCAACTGGCGTGGTTTAGATTCCCCGGTTATACGTAACAAGGAGTAGGGTCGCCTGTCCAGCCTCGTGGGTTTTCTCCGGGTCATCTGGTTTCCTCCCACTGCTAAAGACCCCTTTGACCCATGCGTTAGTCCCAAAATGACTCTCTCTCTCTCCCCCTCTCTCCCCCTCTCCCTCTCTCTCTCTCTCTCTCTCTCACCTATAAAAATAATAACCCCCGATTTACGCCCACCAAAACTTGTTAAATTAATTACAATATCTGCAGCCTGTTTAACTAAACATTTTAATGTTTTATGGAATAAGAATTTGTATTGACTCATCAATGATTCTACGCTGTTGAAATAATAATTATTGTTACAGTTTTTCGAACAAAATTAGACTTTGGTCGAAAAACTGCGAATGATGATTATTATTTCATCAGCTTAGAATTATTAACACATAGGCCTATACGCGAATATTTAATGAATTAGAAGTGAATAGAAGACATGTCTTTAAATGGCATTTAAAATATAGCCTACGCCATTCGCCGTTTTAGGAGAATTACAGACACCGATATTTAGTCTATATTAGGCCTACATCTATTAATACTTTTTTGATTTTTTTTTTGGGGGGTGGGGGGCAATTTAAAACTATTTTAGAAATTGTTTAGGTCTAATTGTCATTATTATTTATTTATTATTTAGGGGGGAGGGGGGTATTTAAACAAGTTTTAGAGATGTAATAAATTCTACACCTTGGGTTCTTCTTTGGTGCACGCCAACATATACTCAGACTAGAACATCGGTTTTTCGTCCCATCCGAACGACCAGGCGCTATTCCATATCAGTCCCCCGCACCTGCTTCGCCTACAAACAAGGGAAAAGCAACGCTGAAAAACCTTGAGGAAGTAGGCCTATCACGACCAGTACCGGGATCGAGCCCGTACAGCCTGGTTAGTGAACCAGTGGATTACTCAGTTACTCAGTTATGAGGTGTCTCCAAAATTAGATTCTTCCTTTATTCGTTTCATTTTGGAGGTGTAACCTAATAATATGATTTGCTTGTTATAATATTTTAATGTAAGCCTGGATCTATTCAAAGCTAAGCCTATTTTAATTTTAAATGTTAGGGCCTAGGAGTCTAAATCTAAATCTAGGCCTACTCTAGTACCAGGCAGGTCAGTGGGCATGTTTCCACCAGCGCCAAGCTCAGCTAAGATTTAAATTTTCAACAAGGATGTGAAACATGGCCTTACCTTAAAGTAAACCATCTTGTTATTTGGGCTGTAAACATACGATTGTGAACGTTTTCTTATTTAACTTCTCTTGAAGTTTTCTTTGTGTCGCTTTCTTCAGCCTTCGTGGCAGCGTGACGTCATTAAACCATGACGTTATAGAACTACAACGGCGTCGTCATAACAGAATCTGTTCTTTTAGAAATATATCCTATTTATTTATTTTGAGTTTAAATACATATTTCGTTTATTTAATTTTCAAATAGATATAATTATCTATATAGTAAAAAGGTATTTCCCATATAGGAGAAGCTAGTCCTTGCGAGATGTAGATACCGGAGTGTGCCGAGGTTTGCCGAATAATTTTTTTCCTCAAATTCACACGTGCAGTCATTGTGTAGGACAATGGACTCGTTGAAAGCCCAACCATAGCTTGTTACAACACAACCGTGCAACAAAATATATAGCCCACCGAGGACCAATGTCAAAAATGGGGGCCGCGGTGGCACAGTGAATAAGACCCTGATCTGGAGGTCCGGTGTTTGATCCCTGCATTGGCCAAAAAAGTTCATCGGAATTTTCCGGCGTATTTGCCCCTTGTCAGTGATGCAGGACATGGGCCTGACCAGGGGCAACGCATAGAATTTCGGCGGGTCCGAAAATCCGAGGTACCGTGTACACATTGACATGCACGTAAAAGAACCCTTGGCAGTTGTAATTCGAAATAAGAGTAGTCTAGGTAGTTGTGCCGCTGTCCGGGCAAAATATCTGCCGTAGGACACTGAAGGCTATGGCGTATTAAACCTCATTTTATTTCCTTCCGGCTTAGCCAGGATATTTCAAGCTTGGAGGCGCCGGGGGAGGGCGGGTGAAATGATTAAAATTTGTGGGAGAGCATCCGCCCTCGGCACGGTTATGCAGAGTTACCTTCCCTTGCAGTTCAAACAAAAGCCCGTTTTCCTGACATGCGTTTTCGCGACGTTTCCGTGCGCATTTCGCCGGTTACATGGAAACAGTTCCATAACATTTGCATTAGATCGACTTTTTCGCCGACGAAAACGCGTACATGCCATTAAAAAAAACATTTATTTATTTAAGATATCGGATGACACCATAGCCGGATACTTAAATCTGAGAAAATATACGCAAATTACTTGGAATTTAATGACATGTTCATGTGCACACCTTTTCCAGAAATTTATAGGTTCCCTTTTCCCTTTAATCGGAGATCGGAAACCCCAGAGTATTGCTTGACAATAAGTGATGGGGTTTCTCCGGAACAATGAAATAAAACAGGATTTAACGTGGTTTACTTTTCTGTCACGCAGCGTGTCATAACTAGGTAAACTTCTGTCCCAACAGCGACGATACGTCATACTATCATTTCCATTTTCAACTGTCAAAGGTGTAGGCATGACCTCGATTTTCCGTCCCCAACGACGGACTAAACGCTTTCCTTACCAATCCTTCACCTCTGAAAATCCAAAGGAGCTTACGCCATGCAGTACACTATGGCCTACTTTTATTTAGAATTCCAACTGTCAAGGGTTGTTTTACGTATGCCTACATCCGACTAAACGCTATCTCTTGCCAGGCCCTCAGTACCGCCGACAAGAGGAGACCACGTCGGAAAACCCCGAGGAACTTTCTCGACTGACACTGAGAGCGAACCCGGAGCTAGCGTCTTACGCGTTGAGCCTCTACGACTCACTCTATATCAACACCTGGATCGGACCCGGGATACCGTTACTACCAGAATAATCCATGGAAACAGATTTACAGGGAATTTTAAAAGAACACACATACTTTGAATGGTTTATTTCATTAAAGGCACAGCCATATTGGAACAAAATAAATGTGTCGAATAGAAATAAAAAAAATAAATAAATTAAAACAATTTACGAGCAAAAGAATGAGCTTAAAAGTGTAGAAGATATCTTATGAAACAATCAAAATAATCAAAATATTATACTATCAATTTCATCATAATAGGGGTAAAGCTATTTTAAACCTAAAAAGCCACTCTGATCGGTTTATTCCCACGAAGGCGCAGTTATTGACCGTAACGGATTAAAAAATGTCGTTTTCGACGACTTCGCGGGAATCCAGCCCCTAGGGATTAAAATGGATTAAAAACGTAACAATGGTGTTATAGATTGTTATGATAAGAATTTACACTTTCATAATCCCCAATGTAACTAATTAACCAACATTTTAGCATCAGTTTTGGCATAAGAAATAAAAACATAACTATACTATAACAAAAATTAATTTAGTTTCGCCAAATAAATAAAAACATAACTATACTATAACAAAAATTAGTTTAATTTCGCCAAATCCCTGGGGCTGGCTTTGGATTGGAGCATATTTGTAGCCTTTCCTTGGTGGTTCCTGTCCCCCAACATACTGAACGATTCTAATCTCATTGATATTTTGTTCTTGTTGCAAAATTGGTGAATAAAATTCAGAGTGAACATAAATTCATAAAATCTTTAACACCGTTAATTGGGTCCTAATAAGAACATGTCTCTCTTCAAACGAAAGCCGACAAGTCGATATCTGCGCCTTCGCAGGAAGGATTAATTTTGGTCACGCTCAATAACTGCGCCTTCGTGGGAATACACCCTCTGATCGCCATTTGCATTTTCGGAAAATTTTCCAGGTCTTCAACGACGCTAACATGTCGTGTGGTACTCAAATTCATTATGTAATATTTAATTAACAATAGAAAAACCCAATCCGATTTATTTTGAGAACAGGTCCCATTTAAAGGATTTTACCCCTTAAACAGATTTGTTTATATTATTGAATATGTTTATTGAATGACGAATGTTGTGAAATATTCAATTCATTATATCTTTGGAAATACTGAACAGAATTAAACCATTTTTGGCCTCATATTCCTTTTACGAATCTAACGTGGTGACACTTTTGTGAGACAAAGAAATTCAAAATCCACCAAATGACAATCAGAGGCATAAAACACATAGATTGCCCATATTAGGGCTAAATAAAGAAATACAAAGTCTTAAATTAGCTAGATGCATGCATGCTTTTGTAGTTTAAAAAAAACGAACAAAAATGTTTGTTTGAAATAGCATCGTAAAAAAATGGACAACGGGTTAGCATTCGTTATATATTCATCATTGAATTGTTTCAATTGTAGTTAGTAAGTGAACTCCATGGAAATACACGTGTCACAATTATATGGAACACAATTAGTGTTATTGTTCAACACTAGAGAAGCCTAGTCAAAACGTCCTTCAGTAATCAACAGTAATTGTATTTCATAGAATTTTGACCTATGTATTTTTAGAAGTCTGTCGTGCTCATCGGTTTCATGTTTAGTAGACTTTACAATTACTTAAAGTTCCATCTCGAATTGTACAAATATAAAACGGAGTATACATAAACGCCCTTCTTTTCAGCACCCCCAGTTTAATATTTAGAAATGAAAAGAAATGGGGTTTAACGTCCTACTGTTCTGCTCCGACTGGGCTAATGAAGACGGGCATGTGCATACAGTGTGTTATGAGGACAATTTTGCCCGGGCAGCGGCACTATGGCCCATTTTTATATCGAATTCCAAATTTGCCTGGACTGCGGCACACTAAGACCTACTCTTATATCGAATTCCAACTGCCAAGGGATGTCTTACGTGCACACTAATGAGTACCTGGACCACGATTTTATGTCCCGTCCGAACGAACGACTATACAACTGTCCTTGTCAGGTTAGTATTTCGAAACAAGGATATAATATGGTATTCAGCTTGAAACAATTCAACCAAATTCTTTTCTTTATTTTGACCTAAATTAAAAAGGTATAGCTTCTTAAAGTGACATCCATCAGCCGTCGTCATTAACCCATATGGCAGACAGATGGGACGTTAACACTCAATTCGTTTCTTTAAGAAACTTAAAAGTACGTATCCACCAATGAACGCACGGGTTGTAGTTGTTCATATTGTTTAATGTTCGCTTGAACAGAAGGTGATATGTTTGTATAATAAGCGCATGCGCAGGGGTCTTTCCTGTGGGAGGAAACCAGAGTACCCGGAGTAAACCCACGAGAATGTGTAGCGTATTACCAACAAATGATATAAGAAAATACGAAACTAAGACTTAAGAGTATTAATAAGCACTAAATTTACATCATTGGCTATCAAAACACATTATTAAGTATGTGCATTTTAAAAAAGTGTTCAAGCGTGTCCACTATTCTAGCCCCTCACTTAATTTCACACGGTTCCCTCGCTGAATGGGATGAGATGACAAAAACAACTCAAAGTGATGATCTGTTACACACTTTAATGCCATGGGCAGGTGCGTGCAACTTATGTGCGAATATCACGTGATACACCATAGTTGCTATGGTAATAAATCAGCGGTCAAGGTGTTTGTTAATTGTTCATGTGTTAGCGAAAATGCTAATTTCGTAATCCTCGTCATCTTCCGAATTACACACCGCATCGTACCAGACATCATCATCTTCGATCTCCGACTCATCATCGATGTATTGTGCAGGTTTGGGCCAGAAGCCACACTGCCGTTTTGTGTCTCGTGTGGAATAAAAACGCTCTTTTTCATCAGTTGGTGAATTGAGCGATATACTTTCCGTAATACTGTTTAAGGAGCCCAGTGTGGATTTACGGGGCACTCCATGTCTTTTTAGAGTGGCGTCCCTTTGAGTACTCGATTCTCCGTCACCGTTCGTTTGGCACACGTCTTGCTGAACATCAGGACTGGATAGGGAAGATGATTCCGAACCGTGACAACTGCCTCTAACAGAACTGTCTACGCGTTCCACAAATTTCTTCAATTTCCTACGTTCTTTGATACTCTGCATTCGGAGAAGTTTGAAACTTTTGGCGTTGATGGATTTTCTGTTTGGATTTGCTCGTTTCCGTTCAACACACTCGGCTAGAGAAGATTTAATTTCCTCTAAATTTATCAAAGTATTAAACTCGGTGAGTTTTGACAGCCGCGTGAACTGTTCGTGGGAATATTTGAAGTTAAATGTGGAATACGGTGTGGATGGATCATCGAATAAATCAAAATTCGCGAAATTCAAGTCTTCGTCAGATTCTCTCTTCACACCTGTAAAAGAAATGGGTACTACGTATTAGGATACAGACCACCATTAATTCCCCTATAGTTCCTTCAATTTATAGCTATTGTTGTACCCTTTTTGAGGGGGGTTGGGTGACCGAATGTTTAGCATGTGCAGGCTGTATCATTAGGTCTGTCATTGAGTCGACTGGCGTGGTTTCAAGTCCCCGGTTGTACGTGACAAGGAGTAGGTCGCGTGTACAACCTCGTGGGTTTTCTCCGGGTCCTCCGGCTGCTAAAGACCCCTACGTGCAAGCGAATTATTGAAATAAAATTCAACCATATGTTAGTCAAGAAATGACCTAGTTTGTGTCTAGTGGACGTTAAACCCCATCTCTCTCTCCCTCTCTCTCTCTCTCTCTCTCTTTGGTAGGATTTTATTGTGGTGAACCTCATGCGTTTTTGTGTTTTGTGCAAGACTTTACCACATGTTGCCCCATCTGTGGTAGACAGCGTTCAACCTAACGGGAATGAGAGTTTACAAATTAGCATTCAAATCAGCGGGTCTGTACGAATAGAAGAAGGAGGGGGGACTCTTTTAGTTGATAATTGAGTTCGATACAGACCACATCAATATTTACATTGCGATTAATGTTAAATCTTGGCTCTTGTCCCAGCGTTTCCCTTCGACTGAAAGCTCGCTATCACAACGCGCACACATAACTTGTATGAGGTTTGCCCTTTCACTGAACATGGATTTGCTTTGCAAATCAAATTGAACCCTACATAGAATGATGTTCGGTCTGTTAGCAGTTTTAAATTATCGCCATGGGACAGACATCAGTGAGGCTTGTGGAGCAGGAAGGTGTTGCGGAGCTTGATAAAGTTTTTGAAACAAATATAAACGTTGATTTACCTGGTTTAGAGAATTCTCTGAAAGCTATGTTGACTAGAGGAAAATGTAAGACAATGGGACAGCACGGATCAGTGGGGTGCTTAAATATGTAAAGCTCCTTCAGACCTTCCCGATCTACAATCGATGGATCAATGGGCGGGAACGGCAGACGATTCAACTTGGCCCATTTCTCGGCAAGTAATAATTCCTGGAAAAGACAAAAAAGAGAAGATACGAAAAGTGTTCGACACACGGTATTTCCAAAGTTGTCACGTTAAACTGGGCCTAACTTTACATTCCTCAGTTATTCATTTCTGTGAACTTTCTCGGCCAAAGCAGTGATCGAACACAGGACCACCAGGTTAGCGAACCAACGTCTTACTCACCGAGTCACCGTGGCTTCCGATTCAGAAAAGAAAAACGTTAAACTCCATTTCATTTCCAAATTCGGAATATTCGCCCTTGACTACGGCAATACCGAAAGCAATAAAATTCTATAGAGTCAATAGTTTACCTTGAATGGAGGCGTACAATCACTGGGTCTAGCACTAAAATCAAAGGACAAGATGATGTCGACACCCCGCTGTGGTCTCAGTACTAGTGGATACGGTGAATTAAAGGTCAATCCAGCATCTACCATATAAATATGTTTGATATTTGTCGGGTGCATCTCAAATATTCCGTCAAATTCATCGCCATCGGCCACTCTATCGTGGACAGGAGTGAATGGAGACAGCGGATATGTCTGCTGTAAGGACAGTCCTCTCATAAAATTATGAATGACAGCTGCTCGACCTGCTCGAGTACTCAGTAACTCGAAGTTTTTGCTGAAAGTGAAAGTAGAAATTGGAATTGGAATAAGTTGTTTATTTATGTCTACATATTTAAAACATTCTTCGAGTTTCATTCAAATAATCCAGCCATTTTTACCCCATTGGCGTGTACGCAAAATATCCATTGGCAATTACAATTCAATATAAGAGTAGGCAGTATTGTTGTTCGGGCAAAATTGCCCTCATAGCACACTGTATGGTGTATAACGGTCTTTATTAGCCCAATCGGAGCAGAACAGTAGGACGTGCTCCAACTCGAAGTTTTTGCTAAAATCTGAAGCTTTTGTTGCTATTCAATGCTAGTATTTCAGATAATATTACTCTATTTCAAAATTATTAAATGCTCTATTTATATATGATAAGTATAAATGATTAATACCAAGCACGGAGCAGCGTAAGATGGTTCCAAAAGCCCTTTTCGTTACTATTTTTCCGCAAACTTTGTACAGAGATATATATACATATATCTACGTTATTGCACTTAATTCTTTATCAAAATAGTCATAGAGACGCTATTTTAAAGGATCGTTCTTTCGTGGGGCGGGGCGTTTTACGTCGGTTCCACCGAGGGGTGACAGCGCGAGTCCGAAAGCTGAACTTTTTATATCATTTTCTCCTACTCGTTACTTAAGCCGCAATAATTACGGCACGTTGTTAGAAAAAAAAATCTTACTTTTCAAATATGCCTTCTAAAACACCTTTCCAATAACTCTTCTTCTTCATTTTACGACTAGATCTCTTCCTTGTCATCTTTCCATCCGTGACGTCGACATCATTAATTTTCTCTTTATTCGTTCCTTCAGCAAATCCCACTCTTCTTCCGTTCTCTTTTACCTTGATCGTGATTCCGCTCTTTTTGTTTTCATATTTACAGTCGGGTTTGTGTTTTAGAATTCCCTTTCCGCCCCCATTTGTGACAACCGTTTGCGGTTTTTCACCGTCCTCCTGTGAGGAACTACTTTCGCCCTCCGCGTCGGTTTCGTCAGAACTGGAATCCGAGGAATCAGCTAGTTCCTCTGCTTGATTTTTTTCCAGTTCTTTCCCTGTAAAACAAATGCGTCTTGATTATTATAGGTAATGAAATGAAATGAAATGGGGTTTAAAGTCCTACTGTTCTTCTGCTCCTAAACTGGGCTAATGAAGACGGGCATACGCCATACAGTGTGCTATGAGGGACATTTTACCCGGGCAGCGGCACAACGGCCTACTCTTATATCGAATTCCAACTGCCAAAGGAACTTTTACTTGCACGCCAATGTGTACACGGGACCTCGGTTTTTCGTCCCATCCCATCCGAACGACTAGACAGCTGTCCTTGTCAGGCCCTCCGTCCTGCATCACTGACAAGGGGAAACAACGCTGGAAAATCTGGATGAACTTTCTCGGCAAATGCAGGGATCGAACACCCGACCTCCAAGCTAGCGAGCCAGCGTCTTACCCACTTAGCCACGTGATCCTCTGATTATTATAGGTCAAAGTTCATCAGCAGATTTCGTCCTATTCGAACGACTAAACACTGTAATCTGTCAGTCCCTCCGCCCTGCAAGCCTGACAAATGAAAAATAACGCCGGAAAATCCCGAGGAACTTTCAAACACCGGAAGCAAACCCGATACCTCACTGAGTCACCACGGCTCACATATTACGTCAGTGTAGTTTCAGATACTCATCAATTGACTTACCCATTTCTTGACGAATCATCTCAGCCGGATCTAATTTTCTATTATCATCTAATAAACGTTTAAATAAGATACAGAAAGCACTGCCCCATATCCCTGCAACATATTTAGATAAATAAAATACTTTTATTTGTAAGCTGTATTCAGACTAGCCAAACATCTTTATCCTCAAGATGTATATAATTTACAATAAAATCTTTATCTTAATAGAATGACAAAATACATAAATGTCACTTTCAGCAGTAATAAGAAATATGAATTGCATTTAAAAAAAAACAAAAAAACTAATTTGGCTAATGAAGAAAGGTATATCTTAAAAGACAAAATTGGCCTCGCGTTCGATCTACTCTTATTTCGAATTGCACCTGCTAGTGGATCTTTAACCTACTGCCAATGGTAATCATCGGACCTTGGTTTTTCATTTTTTCCGCAAGACTAGACTAAACGCCTTTCCTCGCTAGGTTCGCCACCCTGCATCACTGAGAAGAGAGAGAAATGGGGTTTAACGTCCACTCGACACAAACTAAGGTCATTCCAGGACAGGGATATAGTATAATTTTATGTCAATAATTTGCTTGCATGTAAGGATAATTAGCAGTGGGAAAAAACCGGAGGACCCGGAGAAAACCCACGAGGTTGGACAGGCGACCCTACTCGGTGTCAAGTACAAACGAGGAATCGAAACCACTTGAATTAACGAAAGACTATATGGTTTCACGCGCACGCACTAAACCACTAAACCACTAGACCAACCATCCCCTCACCAAACACCGAGGTAAGAAGACCGCGCTGTGCAATCCCAAGGAACGTGTTCAACTCGGTACTCTCTGGTTAGTCGCTGAGCTCGCACCCCCCCACCCCCGCCCCCGTTTCTATTGTATTTTTGTTTTATTTACATATATATTTAATTACAAACCTTGTAGAAAATGTAATGGCGGTTCTTCATACTTTGTGCACAATTTACCCATAAAAAATTTACTACCAAATAACGTGGAGTCCATGAAGGTGCCGTATTTAGGAAATCCTATTTCAAATGGCGTAAATTCTACCCATTCTGAAAAAGACAATCATATTCAAGATATAAATGAAATCGAGTGATATGAAGACGGGCACATACCATACAGAGTGCTATGAGTGAAATTTTGAATGGATAGACAGGGGTAGCCTACGGCCTACTCTTATATCGAATTCCAACTGTCAAGTGTTCTATTATGTGCACGCCAACGTGACAACAGGAAACCATGATGAAAAATCATGGTGCTGGTTTTCCCATGGTGTGTTTAACGTCCTACTGTTCTGCTCCAACTGGGCTAATGAAGACTGGCATACGCCATACAGCGTGCTATGAGGGAAATTTTGCCTGGGCAGCGACACTATGGCCTACTCTTATATCGAATTCCAACTGCCAAAGGATCTTTTACATGCACGCTAATGTATACACGGGAGGTCAGTTTTCGTCCCATACGAACGGCAGTCCCGATCAGGCCCTCCGTCCTGCACTACTGACAAGGGGAATGCACGCTGGAAAATCCCGTTGAACTTTCTCGGTCAATTATAGGGATCGAACACGCGACCTCCAGGCTACCCACTTAGCCATCGTGGCTGCCCATACATGGTGTGTTAGCCTGTGGCTGTAGCATGTCTATAGAAAAAAAATCTACTTACACGTTTCTTTATGCCAAGCAACTAACAATATCATTTAAAGTTTGTAAAGCAAATAGCCATTCTTGAAATTTCAACTTAAAAGCTTGGATCTGTCACTGTGCGGCATCACAGTATGCACAATCCAAGGTAGATAACTACGCGTGTGTACGTACAGAAAATAAAGTTACTTCCCTTATATTTAGCTAGACCTGTTTATCACGGCCAATTCAATTTTCGTCAAGATCGCTGAGGTGTAAATAAGGTTAGGGTACGTGTTTGTTGGCGAGATTGTAGGTTAGGTTTAGGGTAAGCGTTAGGGCTAGGTCCAGGGTTAGGTTAGGGTTTACATCTCGTGACCTTTGGCCAAACTTTAAGTTGGCCGTATCAAATAGATAAAACCATACTATACGTACCTTGAAATGAACGTGCTGGTACGTCTTTCTTCACGTGAACACATGTGTACAGCGGCATGGGGGCTGCCCCATCGGATATTCTAGCTCTTTGGTCTGTTAATTTAACGTCTAATCGCTGATATTAAAAATAAAAACAAAATTCTGTTATAGGGCCTACATTTTAAAACTAACGTTGGTTTCATTTTATCATATTATTGACTTTCAAGGAAAACTGCAATAAATCAAAGACAGAACAAACAGAACATGGCCAAACATGGGTTTTGTTGGGCGAATTTGGGACGTCAGGTCGGTTGGGGGTCATTACTGTGCACAAAAAACACTTTTAGCGAAATGTAGGCCTATGGTTGGAATTTGGTTTAAATAATTTGGGGAACTGTTTAAACCTAGCTCTTGGTATTTCCTAATTTTAGAAAAATCCAAATACACTTGTAGTGTTTAACTGATCTGGGAATTTTCGACGCACACAACCAGAATAGAACAGACATCCCTACAACACAGACAGCATGAAATACAGATCTTTTTTAAAACGCCTTACCCCTCTTAATAGAGTCTCGCCGACCATATGACCAAAGAAATCTGTAAAACTAACAGGTTGGCCTTCTCGTCGTTTCAGTAATATTCTATCGAGATATCTGTAGATACTCTTGGGTTTTAACAACCACAATATACTGGAATCTACGTTCTTCATTAATTCTTTTATAATAACATCAGGGTCGACATTTGGCCAGTCGGGGTGGGAGTATAACGTAGATAAAAACCTGAAATTAACAACAATATTAGTTTAGAATGAATTCCTGCTAAATATAAAAATACCGCTTGGCAGCACGTTAAAGGCCCTCTCACGGTTGGAAATCGAAAATAGCTCCAAGACAGGGCCGGATTAAGACCCATAGAGGCCTTGGGCACTTTAAAGAATTTGGTGTCCCCATATATATAATAAACCATTATAAACCACAAAAAAAAAATTTCATTTGTCAAAATGAGATTTATATGCGTCATTATTAATTGAAACAGAGCAGGCAAACACAATGAAAAACTAATCAAAAGTTCTTAATGTTTAAATTAAACATTTTAAATTTGTCATCTAACGAAGCAGACAGTATGTGCCTCCTGTTCCATGATGCCCTGAGCATGTGCTTAATTTGTTTAATGGTTAAACCAACCCTGCCCCAGGGTACACAGTATCTTTATTATGTTGGTGCAGAAAAGAAAGAGGTAGAATAATTTTGCCTGGACAGCAGCGTCTCTGCCCACTGTCCATCAACTTCCACTTGTCAAAGGTTCTTTAACGCGCACTCCAATATGTATACGGTTTTTCTTCATACTAAAACGACGAGGCAACGGTTACCTTTTGAACCCCAGCACACGCACACGGTATTCCTGACAGGTGCCCCTCCCCTAGACGTAAGTATTTAAATGGATTACATGGGTGGGGGTGATGTTATGGGGGAGGGGGGTATCAAGGTAACTTACCATGAAGAACCTGACAGACCACCAGCATATGTTGTACAGTCCAATATACCAGTGTTAATCAGAGCTTTAAATACACCACTAAATGCTGTCATAGCTCGAAATCCTCCTCCTGATCCTATCACTGCCACTGTAGGAACCTGAATATATATAATTTATTACATTAAAGCACGAAAGGAGTTTAACGTGTCCTACGTTTCTGCATCAACTTGGCTATGTAGGGCCATAAAATAAAATAAAAATTTGCTCAATTTCATTTTTTTTATCGTTTTTTTTTTTAAATTTAAAATTCCAACAGCCATGGATTACTCTCAAATCAAGAAAGAGGCGAGCTTAACGCGTTAAATATTGTTTTAATTTATAATTATATATTCTATGTGGACATAATACTCTTCTCAATGGTTTCGAAAGCTTTTAATCCAGTCCTGAATTCGAAATAGAATGAAGAGTTTCCTTTGGGCATTATATATCAACCCAGCCAGAAATAGGTTGTTATCTTATTTTCCATAAATAAAATATAATATAACAAAATACAATAAAAATAAAATAGGGCCTACAATAAATAAATAAATAAAAAAATAAATAAATAAATAAACACAATTAAAACTATTGTCGCTTTTTTTTTAAATAGTTACATAAGCGAATACATTAAAAACAAAACCCAACATATAAATAACATAATTATCCACATAAAAAATTCGTCACGCCATCTTCCTCTTACGTAAATAATGTGATGTGTTTATTCCACGTGGTACACTGTGGTTTATTTCCGTATATGTCATTCATGCCCATGCGTAGACATAATTACAAGAAAAAAAAACAAAAAACAACCAATTAAAATTCACTTAGTTGGTGGTTATAACAGTGTGACATAACCAAGTAACAGTTCGCGTGTACTAGTTGACATAAAATATTAAACCCAAATTCATCAGTACATCTTTCGAGCAATGCATTTCAGTTTTTCGGTCACAAACATCGGAGAATGAGACAATATATCATAGAAATATAATCGTATAATTGTAAAATGATATCGCTCGCGGTTTACGTTTTGAAGACAATAATACTTAACACTTCGCGCAATAATATTTGTGGAAAAATCGTTTTAGTTAATGATCGATTCATTCTGAAAATTCGAGTGACAAATAATTTTTAGAGCAAACTGCCTCAGCCCCCTCCCTGCCCCTCCGTCCTCTTCCGGAATGTTTCTCGTCCTTCAAATGTACTGATTAAACTTCCTGGTTATCAAGTCTTATCTTTCCTGTGTTATACACCCAGTTATCAAGTCTTTCCTATGTTACATCCTTCGGTACAGGGTGGTTACAATGTATAAATATACTGAAATAATTCTAAGAAATCATCTTAAATTTTCCCGGTTTGGTGTACACTATTAAAATTGTTGCATGCCATTTCAAATTACAAGGTCATAACAAGGACAGTCTATATAAAGCTAACATATTTGTCACGTAACACATATTTTGCGACAAATTGTTCAAAACTAACTTTATAAACTATCTCTGTGTGGTGTCTTCATTAACCCAATCAGACACCAAACTCCATTTCATTTTATTTCATTTTATAAACTATCTCTATTTTTCTAGTTTTATTTTTGGAGAGAGAGAGAGAAATGGGGTTAAACGTCCACTCCACACAGACTAACATATGGTTTAATTTTATTTCAATAATTCGCTTGCGCGTAGGGGTCTATAGCAGTGGGAGGAAACCGGAGGACCCGGAGAAAACCCACGAAGGTTGGAAGTTTTATTTTTGGTATATTCTCCTATGTATCAAAATCCTAACCGTCTCTTGGACACTATTCCAATACCGTTATGTCTGTCGCCATGCAATATCACCCGATTGGTCAAGGGAACACGGTGGTTCAGTGGGTGAAGCGCTTGGTCCCGTGTACATGTGGGGATTGGATAGCCGAATGGTTAGCGCGTACGTGTTGTATCATAAGGTCTGTCATTGTACGTGACAAGGAGTAGGGTCGCCTGTCCAATCTCGTGGGGTTTCTCCGGGTCCTAAGGTTCCCCCCAATGCTAAAGACCCCTACGCGCAAGCGAATCATTGAAATAAAATTGAACCATATGTTAGTCCCCAAATGACCTAGTTTGTGTCGAGTGGAAGTTAAACTCTCTCTCTCTCTCTCTCTCTCTCTCTCCATGTACATGTTGGGGTGCATTTTAAATAACTCTTGACATTTGTTACTCGATGAAGGGTAAGCAGAGACGCTGCCGTCCGAAAAAGATTTCTCCCATAACACACAACATGGAATATGCCCGTCTTGTAGACCTGTTGATGCAGAAACCATATTCGATTCCATTTCATTTGTGGAATCATAACGAGTAAAGGGAAGGGGGAACGCCAAAAACTCCTTTAAAAGAGTAGCAGAAGCTGGACAGGCCGGTAGATCTGTGTATAGCTGCTGGATCAAACAATGATCCCGGCGGAGAAAGTAGACCCCCCCCCCCACACACACACTACTTTAGAAAAAGGGTCGTATCACACGAAAAATGATGAGGAATAAACCACCTCTTATTTCTACTTAAAATGTCTGCACATTGGTGGATTCTAATAACATACTTATCATCAACAGAAGAAGGCAAATACAAGGTTCGAGACTACCAACTGAATGGATAAAGCTGCTTACCTCACTAACAGATTTTGGCCCTCGATCGCCCAGTAATTTGTTTAATCCTTCATAAGCTTTGCGTCGTCTGTTTTCTCTAAACGATTTCTCACCTTCACATAAACATAAACTATATCGTAATGTGGGATTTTGACTGAAACCAAAACAAGTAGAGCATAAACTATATCGTAACGTGGGATTTTTACAGAAACCAAACAAATAGAACATGACAGTCTTTTTATAACGGGTGTTCGATCCCTGCATTGGCCGAGAAAGTTCATCCCGATTTTCGGCGTGATCCCCCCTTGTCAGTGATGCAGGACGGAGAGCCTGACAAGGACAGCTGTCTAGTCATTCTGATGAGACGAAATACCGAGGTCCCGTGTACACATTGGCGTGCACGTAAAAGATCCCTTGACAGTTGGAATTCGATATAAGAGTAGGCCGTAGTGCCGCTGTCCGGGCAAATTTCCCTCATAGCACACTGTATGGCGTATGCCCGTCTTCATTAGCCCAGTTAGGAGCAAAACAGTAGGACGTTAAACCCCATTTCATTTCATTTCATTTTCTTTTTATAAGGGAGTCGTTGGAGTCGATCGGCAAGAGAATAAGTCTCTCAGTTAGAATGTACCGGCGGGTTCGAATTCCGAGGTTCACCCGTTTGCTCGCTATCCAGGCACACAATACATTGTATCGCGCATTGTATGGAATATTATGTCCTCATTAGGGTAGGTCCTCATTTTGCCGACTGCTTCAAAAAGTAAGACGTTAAACCCCAATTTATTTCATTTTTGTTTTTTTCTGGCAACGGCTTTTTTTTATTAAATATTAATAAAGCTGGCCAACTAAGAAAGGCACAGTTGAGTATAACAACGAAATTCACAGTGTGTGATACCGGCTTAAGACTTAGAAGAATCATTTCTCAAGGTATCAGACGAATGTAAATATAATATATTTAATTTGAAATGATACTCACTCCCACTGCAGTAAAATTTCAACAAATACTTGAGAGGTCTGAAAAATATATAATAATAACGTTATTCATTCTATAACACAACTCTTATCCCAGCTAGATGGTTCAACACAATTTGTGTTTACTCTTAAACTAAAATGAGCTAACGTCTGGTCACGTACAAGTCTTGAGAGCGAAACCACTCGTTCATCCTCATTACCCTCGTTGGTTTTCTCTGGGTCTTCCGGTTTCCTCCCACTGCTAAAGACCCCTACGCGCAAGCCAAATATTGAAATAAAATTGAATCATGTATTAGTCCCGAAATGACCTAGTTTGTGTCGAGCGGACGTAAAACCCAATTTCTTCTCTTTCTGTCATCCTCATTACACAAAGTAGTACATTATCAGCTACATGCCCTTCCAAACTACAGGTAAAGTTTATCAGGTGTTATATAAATAATAATCAAGCCTATAACGTACCTCATAAAATATTAATTTTTTAGGGTGCCATTCATCAATCTGTAGTTCACACGTATCAAAATATACAGTCCCCATAACTTGATCATACATATAGTTAGCTTCCATCAAATCAAATTCTGAAAAATGGTTGATACTATAAATAAACTATCTGCGCTACATCTTCGCTCAGAATAAAGTAATTTGAATGATATATTCAATATATTCATTTTTTGTTATCTATTTTTGAACTAGTATACCAAGAACGGTCGGATCTTTATCTAAACCTTACATAATGGATCTTTAATTTGGTTAGGCATTAATTTTATTACTTCTCTGTTTCGCATTGGTATGGACTACTTGACAAAATTCGCGAACGTTTTCATTCTGCCTAATTCCTTGCAGCGTATTTACAATCATCGAGTCGACTAGCAAACCTACCGTTGATATTTTGATTTCGTTTTTTTTTTAAAGGAAATGTCACATAATCAATGCGAGTACACTTTAACATGGATTTAACCGTTTAGAATTTGATATTATTATGTTCCGATAAATGCAAATGACGCACAGTAACTTTAATGTAGTACAGTGAGTGAATATATGTTCTATTGTTATTGGAAGGTAATACAGTAAGCGAATATAAGAACTCAATATTTATTTATCATTGGTATTGGAATATAATACAGTAAGGGAATATAAGAATTATATATCTATTTATCATTGGTATTGGAATATAATACAGTAAGGGAATATAAGAATTCTATATCTATTTACCATTGGTGTTGGAATATAATACAGTAAGGGAACATACAAATTCTATATTTATTTACCATTGGTATTGGAAGGTAATACAGTAAGGGAATATAAGAATTCTATATCTATTTACCATTGGTGGAAGGTAAACCTTGAAAGTTAGAACTAATATTGCTACTAGGTACAACAAGATATCATTTTTCCAATGACGCCCGTAAAATATATCTGATATAATATAAAACTTACGTATAATATTTTTATCCCTGAAATCCAATAGGAATGTGAATGTTTCGTTCCAGACGGGGTTACATTCATTGTCGATGGTCTTGGTTCGTTGTTTGCTATTTGGAGCATTTCGTACTCGTAGTCTGATATAAGGATCTGGTGTGTCAACTGTAAAAGAAAGACAATCGAATTATATTAGTTTAAAACACATCGAAATAACAAGATATGTGGTTTAACGTCGTACTTTTCTGCACTATTAACACGGATAATGAAGACAGGCATACTTCAAGCAAAGTGTTTGTGTTGGAAGACAGTTTGTCCTACGATATCCAACAGTCAGGAGATCTCTATCGTTATGCCAAGGGTAGCATATACTGGGGACTAGACACTTTTCACTAACACCCTCTACCCCTCCCCGCGGCATGCCCACTGACAAATTGAACTCAGGCTGGGCAGTTTAGAGAACCGTTCTCGGCCAACACCAGGATCGAACACGAAACCTCCTGGTTAGTGAGCCAGCGTTTTTTTTTCCAAGGACCCCCCGCCCCATAAAATTCAAAATGACGTGCGTGTGCGTGTGCGTGTGTGCATGTATTCCCCCCCCCCATTTTTATTTTTAACCGGGTTGGATTAAGAAGTATGTAAAATAAACGGAAGATTGAAGGGTTTGGTGGAACGTCCTCGACCTATCGACCTTTTCATGAAGGCACAAGTACATGTGTGAACTATTACCATGAGGTATTGTTGTAATGTTGTATACCTGTGAAATATTTACATAAGTACCCGATTAACCCACATTTCTTTACCGTTCATTTATTTGGCTAATAAATAAGAATGTTAGCTATGTGTACTACGCATGCAGCACGTGTTTAATACGCACGTTCGTATGACATAGTGCACTGAAAACTATGAAGTTATTCACTGATTATCCAGATGGCCATTAACGACTGGAATTCCCTTTGTTTCGGGCATTTTGATTGATTAATTTGAAAGCCGGAAGTATCACACCTTACCCCTGTACCCTGAAGACATAGATTAATCGTTCTAGTAATTCTTTAAAAATGCGGGATAATTCCAACAAATTTCCATTCAAATAAATAGGTTTGTGTTTGATTGAATTTTCCAAAAGAATTGAGTGTAAATCAATTTATATACAAGTACATTCATGTCTAACCTCATGTGTTTTCTCCGGGTCCTCCGGTTATACTCCCTTTAAAGGGACAATAACACTCTTGCTGGCTTGACAGCTCCAGAAAATAATTAATAGCCTTATTCTAAGTATTAGATGTTTAAGTGTCCTACCTGTTGTGTAAATTATCCATTACATCCTATTTTACTTGTCCAGAGGGTTCGAAAATATTTTTAAATCCAAGTCACATTTGAAAAGGTTTACGTTAGGCTTTTCAAATCATTTAGTTGAACTTTTCCAATTTTTAAAATTAGGTGTGTTAAGATGAAATTTGTATCATCAATTAATTGGAATATTGTAAAATAGTACAATTTGTTGACCAGAATAAAGATTGGGACATATTATTCAGTTACAACAAGAGTGGTATTGAGCATTTAAGGAATAAAAGTGTAAAAATAATTTAATGGGGATTTTATTGATCTGTCAGTAATTGACATTTACAATAACATGCTTCTATTAAAAAGAATTTATTTTTCTGTTTTAACAAATAACATTAAATCAAAAGTCCCCGAAGATTTCAACTAATATAGTAATAAACAGAATTTCTGCTACTCTGTCCATATGAGAAAATATAACTATAAAATTATTGAGCGGGTGTTATATCTGATGTTAAAAGTACACGTTCTATTAACGCGGCACAACATACCGTGGTCCAATTTATAGAGGAGGTCGCGGTAGTCGAGCACTTGATTCTTGTTTAGAGTTCGAATCCCGGCGTGGGCTGTGAAGAACTATCGGGATTTTTAATGCCCGGTTCTTACTTGTCAGAATTGTGCGCCCGTAACGAGTGACACGGGAAATGTGGTCAGTTGTTCGGACTGTGCGATATATCGTAAATGAAATTGGGTTTTAACGTCCTACTGTTCTGCTCCGACTGGGATAATGAAGACGGGCATACGCCTTAAAATGTGCTATGAGGGAAATTTGTCCCGAACAGTGGCACTACGGCCTGCTGTTATATCGAATTCCATCTGTCAAGGGTTCTTTTACGTGCATGCCCATGTGTACATGGGACCTCGGTTTTTCGTCTCAACCGAACGACTATACGCCGTCCATCCTACACCACTGTCAAGGGGGGAACCACGCCCGAAAATCTCGATGAAATTTCTCGGCTAACACAGGGATCGAGCACAGAATCACCGGGCTAGCGAGCCAACGTCTTGCTCACTGAGCCACCGTGGCTCCCAACCACCCGTGTAAACACTCGCGTCGTCAAAAGTTAGAATTCGAAGAGTAGATGGAAATTATCCCCTGTAAATTGTACACGTGGTCATAGAAATGACATTTACTACATGTTAGTCTCAAAATAACGGGAGTATTGTGTTGACGAGACATTAAACCCCATTCCATTCGAAATGAACGAGGCGGAGTGCCTTTAAATCGCATTAAATGAAGCCTGACATTTTATATTGGCATGTTAGCTCACGTCTGCTCTTAATAAATCTCCCTGGAGAATAGTTCATTTGATCTACGTTTAGATGCTTTTTTTTCTCATCCACTTACGGGGCCGTGTAAACCACCATTTAAAGAACATGTAGAAATAAAATTCACACAAACATGAACCGTTAACATTAGCAGGTTCATTGCATTCCACCATCACTGTAATGTAGTTCAAACCAACAAATCAATTATCGAGATGAGATTTAATAGAACCAAAGTGTCTCATTAAGCTAGCTCCAACTCCGATGTTGAGTAGAAAGATCCGACGAGCGGTTCACTTATGACCAGGAGGTCCAAGGTTTGATGGTTAGATCTATTTAGGATGGCCACTTGCAGATTTCCTCAAAGTCACGAGATGTTGGATGAGAAAGTTCAAGGAGTATGGCGCTGGCTCTCTAATCAGGCGGCCCCGGTTCGACCCATTGACAATGGTGTATGACTGTGGTCCTGGTTAGGAAAGGGCGCCAAGTCATTCGGATGGAACGAAAAATCCCAGGCCAAGTACATAGCGCAAGTACTATTTATTTAGTTGCGAAACACATTTTTCTAACGGAATGTTCGAGAAAGAAAGTCCTCTATCAATGACTCATGTATAGTATGTTTATAGTATTCTGTATAACTGTTCAGGAATTTCGTCTGTCTTATCGATATCTCGCAGTTCACTTACTTACATGTACTTAACATTATCTCTACCTATATATAATATATTTGTGTGGTTAAGAAAATATAAATGAAATGGTATTTAACGTCCTGCTTTTCTCCGCCATGTAGTGTGCTATGGCGGACATTTAGTCAAGACATTTAGTCTGGACACTTAGTCGTATTCCATCTGTTAAGGGTTAGGTGGTGAAAGCAAGTGTGTATACGAGACCCTGCAAAATCCCGATGAGTATTTTCAACCATCACAGGATCTAACCCACCCACACCCATGGCTGCATGGGAGGACTGGTCAATACCAGGACCCCAACCCCCACCCCACCCTCCAAGGATGAATTAATTTAAAGAGGGCACAAAATGGACATATTATAAAGTTATATATAAAAATCCAATGTTTATTATACACTTTACACCAGTTTCATTCAAATTCATTCATAATTCAAAGTCGCATATATATAGTCCTGTAATACATTTTCTAAATCACTGCAGATTTTCACAAACGCATGTTTCCAAAGCATTTTAAATTTCATTATTTTTCTAATAAGTAGAAGTTGTTTGTTTATACTGTCTGAGCCTTCATAATGACAACAATCCTGTCTAATGAAGGGTTGAAATTTCTCTTGGGAATATTGCACTAATGACGCCATCGAAATAAATGAGACTCTTTATTGTATTAAAGGACCGTCCTTTCACTGTTTGATCAAGAGATCGCAACATTTCACAAACCAGAATAAACTAAGGCTTGTTAGCAGCAGTTTTACATCATCGTGTCGAGATAAACATGTTTAAAAGATTAATTTAACTAACTGTTATTTACGCCCAGTACATCAAATCTTTCAAGGTAATATTAATTATAATTTCCTGCAGCTGTGCAAGCAAGCCAATCTTCTCTAATACTAACTCCTAACTACAATAATTTTATTTTCAACATTTAACACACCATTGAGAAAAAATCCTGTGGTAATCCAAACAAAAAAACCTATAACATTGAGATCATACTCCAGTGCCAGTCCAAGAAAGACACAACATTTGAAAAACATTCCAGTGATAATCCATGAGTAGTACAGGAGAAACCGCTTGCCACCTACACCAGTGAGGTGTGATTTAGATGTTCTAGAAGGGTTAAGCATAATCTGTCTCTTGCAAGGCACGTGTTAGTATTTACAGCCTATAGGATGCAAATGATTCGTTCGTTCGTGGGTAGTTAACGCCCGTTTCCACTAGGATGAGATCACAGGGTGGTGCTTCCTGAGAAGCATGCCAGAAGGGCCAGTCGTCGTTTAGAGGCTAGATCAACATAGGGTGGGAAAAGAGGGGGGGGGGCGAAAAAAGGAAATTCGCCAGTCCCATCCTCGTAGGTAAAGGAGGGTTCTAATAGGACCTTGCACGGCATTGTGTTTGTACAGAAGTGAAATGAAATGGATTTTAACGCCCTACTTTTCTACACAGACAGGGCTAATGAAGAAGAACTCACGTCATACAGTATGCTACGAGAGAAATTTTGCCCAGACAGCCACGCTACGGTCTACTGTTGTATCGAATTCCAACTGCCATGATACGTGGTGTTTCAAACATTTACGATAATAATAATCTCTTTTTTTAATTTTTGTCACAGTTCATGCACCAACACACACTCCTTGAGTAAATAAAACAATTTGCGATGTCATTTATATAATGTACGAAAAGGATTGGCAAGGATATAGATGCTTGCGTTACGCCTTATAGACGATAACTATTATAACGATCATAAAAATATATTGTGGTTTACGCTCCACTTATTTCTACGTTATAAATAAAGCTAAATTGAGGCGAAGGTCAGTTGATCTTTTACGTTGTCAAAATATCGAATTTTTGATGATATTATGGACAAGTTGATTTTATTTAAGATTATTTACATGTGAAACAGGCATAACAATGGCAAAATATAAAGTTCCTGTAGGCAAAACTATCACCTTAAAACGCGGTGTTAAATTCGCTATCGTCAAAAGAGAGGAGTTCTCAAGGTACACGTGTTCTAACCCCTACCAGGCGTTTGTCGTAGGTGATTTATCCGGAATGTCTAGATAGGATGTCGCACGTTCGAATCCTGGCGCAAACTGAGAATAACCATCGGAATTTCACGAGACATTAACGGTGAGTTGGATGGCCGAATGGTTAACGCGTGCACATTTGGTCATAAGGTATGTTATTGAGTCAAGTTGCGTCGTTGCATTTGTATTGTACGTAACAAGGGTTGGGTCGGGGTCCTCCGGTTTCCTTCCACTGCTAAAGACCTCTACGCGCTAGCGAATTGTTGAAATAAAATTAACGATATGTTAGTCATGGTTTGTGTAGAGTGGACGTTAAAGCTCTCTCTCTCTCTCTCTCTCTCTCTCTCTCACGAGACCGAGACATTTAAACCCCATTCCATAAAATCTGAACTCTTATCAGTGTTACCAGATGTTCTCATCAGTGTAGGCATACCATGCCTCATACCCGTTGCAAGCGACTTCTTTCACCTAATTCGGGGACAAGTTTGAGATTCAGATTCCCAGGTTGTCTCACGGGGCACATTATTATCCATTAAAGATAATACATACCTAAATCTTGAGCCCAACCACTGGATATATTTTTGCCATTAATAACTTTAACAGTTAATATCATACATGGTAGATGATTCACCTGAAATACATTTAATATACATCCATTAGTTAATTGACAACACAGTACGCATAATTATATTTCCTGTCACGTTATTTATTAAGTAAATCGTCGTTATAGTTATAATATAGTAAAACAAAGTAAAATAAAAAAACGCTGGAATTCCAACGTTTCAAACTGCTTTATCTACAGACCTTCATCTGGGAAATGATGTAGTTTTTTTTTAGATTTATTTTTATTTTATTTTTGTTTTGTTTTGCTTTTATTTCAAATTATTCATTTATGGAGGCTGGAGGGAGGACAAATAAATAATCTATTACTTAGTAGCGGACATTTATATAACTTCTTAGTATGTCAGCTATTGCCACAAATATGTGAAGGTTTGAGGTAGGCCTTCGTACGTTTGTCTGTATGGTACAATAATTAGGTACAAACTGATCCCACATCTTGACGTATATTATAAAGGTCAACTAAGGTTAATGGTAGATGTGTTATTGTTAATATGTTTCCCATTCATAACATGTTTTGTGTAAATGTTTTTACAACCAACTAATTTTTTTACTTTTTTTTGTTTTCTTCAGAGAGTTGAAGAAGTAGTTCATAAAGGTTTATGATAATAGAAAAGGGTAATGAAATTGGGTTTTTAATGTCCCACTGTTCTGCATCAAATAGGTTAATGAAGACGGGCATACGCCATTTAAAAAAAAACTACGAGATGGGGTTTAACGTCCACTCGACACAAACTAGGTCATTTTGGGACTAACATGTAGTTCAATTTGATTTTATTAATTCGCTCGTGCGTAGGGGTCTTTAGCGGTGGAAGGAAATCGGAGGATCCGAAGAAATAATAATAATAATAAATAATAATAATCGTTTTCTATAGCGCTGCTCTGTGGCGCTTTACAATGTAGATATGATTATAAAGAAACAAAACAAGTATACATGTATATACAAATAAACAAAAGAACACAAAGGAATAGTTACAATATACAAATGGAAAGTGAAGCATTTAAATTATTGTTTAAAAGTTTGGGTAAAAAACAGGGTTTTTAAACGTCGTTTAAATATAGCTAAGTTTGGACTATTTTGGACTTCCAGAGGCAATTTGTTCCACTCTTTTGGTGCTGCGTACGCAAAAGCTCTCTCACCAAATTTTGACTTCTGTACTGGGCATACAAGTTGGTTTTTATGAGATGAACGTAAGGAACGAGAAGGTACATATTGTTTAATCAAATCGGATAAATAGGATGGTGCCAAAGGATCGTTTAAACAGTTGAAAGTGATTGTGATAATTTTGAAAATGATGCGTTGATTAACCGGTAGCCAATGTAACTGTTTTAGAACAGGTGTAATATGATCAGATGGTTTGGTGAGAGATACAATTCGAGCTGCTTTATTCTGGATTTTTTGTAGCTGACTTACAAGAGTTTTAGGAAGAGAATACAATAATGAATTACAATAATCTAAAGATGACATAACAAAAGCGTTTATTAACATTTTAGTGGCATCAAGGTCAATATAGGATCGAATTTTGCCAATGTTATACAGGTGAAAGTTCGCCTTTTTGCACAGTCTTGATACATGGGTTTTCATATCTAAGGACGAGTCAAAGAACACACCAAGATTTCTGACACAGTTGGATGGGGTTATTGCTGTGCTTCCAATAGTCACATGGTTGATGTCGATGTTCTTTTTATTCTCGATTATTATATTTTCTGTCTTGTCATCGTTCAATTTCAGAAAATTGCAGTGCATCCACATTCTAATTCGTTCAATGCATGCTTCCAGTTCTGATGTAGTGGTATCTGGTGAAGGATCAAGTTCAACATATAACTGGGTATGATCCGCATAGAGGTGGTAATTAAGACCCATCTCACGGATGATATCTCCAATTGGTGCAGTGTATGCTGTGAACAAAATCGGTCCCAATACGGATCCCTGGGGAACACCAAAGTCAAGAACTTTAGGCATTGATTGACATGCGTCAATAACAATACTCTGCTGTCTTCCACTCAGATAGGACTCAAACCATATCGAGTTTCAAGCTTATCGGCTTAAATATCGATGTAATCGTGTGTAAATCCCGTCCTTTATTTATCTAATGGGTTTAGAACAACCAGTGTCATGTTCTTTTGTAATATCTGATGAATAGATAGTAGCTCTTAATGAACAATTGCCGCACAAGTATTAAAGAGACATTATTGCTGTCTCCGTCGGTTGGTTTCTGCTCATTTTGCAGTGTGATGTTCCATCACTGACGGAAGGTTTCAAATCGTTTTGAACGGGCGGTATGGCAATGGACAGCGACTAGCCGTTTGGATGAGACGAAAAACCAAGGTCCTGTGAACACATAGCATGTATGTAACAAAAAGGCCCTTGGCAGTTAGAATTCGGAATAAGATTAGTCAAGAGCACCGCTGTGCGGGCGACATGTCTTCATAGCATAGTCCGGTTGGTACAGAAGAGTAAGACAATAAATGAGGGAGGGTCTCAAAATAGTTAGAAGCTTGGGCATGCATGATACTCCTCTGGCTGATGTTAATAGAAACTATTTAATTTTAGATACTAACTGCGCGAAGTCCTTTATCTCTTAATACGGTGTATCAGGGTTAAGTGAATATCGGTAAGATCGTGCAAACATGTAACACCGATACTTGAAACTGACAAACATCGTACTGCGGTCACAGACATATTCTAATGTAATGTCATGTCGTGATTAAAAGTTTACATTTTATTTATTGTTTATTTAGACCTCACAACCAAAGTTTACATGTAAATACTCTTTATATAAATATCAGTTGATCGATTGATCAGGTTTCATTGGAAGAAATCGATTAAAACGAGTCATCCCTATTAAATATAAAGTGAACATCAATGAAATTAAAATTGCCGATTTCTATCGTGGGGTTTTTTTTTGTTTTTTTTTCAAAAAATATCAAAACTTTCAAACTGTATTTAACTGATTATATATCAAGAGATTTTATCAATAGGCCAATGAGCAGATTTTCGATACTAAAGCTAGTTATTCAAGGCATTCCCCAATGGAATTCCTTTACGTCATACTAACTATTCTATATACAATGGCTTTGAGAAGATATAGGAAATCTATTTTAAGTCTTGTATCGTTTCTAGACTTACCTTGTGTAATACATCAGAACCCACCCCATTCTTTCATACAATGGAGCATATCGCATATTTAAAAATCGATATTGTTTTAAATCATGTTGGAATAACTAATGGGTTGTTTCGTGTACAGAAGCCCCCCCCCCACCCCTTACACATTTCCCCGTGTGTTGGCGCCATTTTGTGGAGAGACAGACACGCACTTTTCACAAACATTATCTGAGTCCCTATCCTCATATCCATTCAGAACCAGCCTCAACAATTAAGATTTCAGTATATTACATATTATGTGAAATTTTATCTACGCTCACAAGAATTTTCTCCCAGCAATGACCTCAAATGCCAGGAAATTTACAAAACTTTACACAATTGTCTCCACTTCCCCATGTCCCTTTAGGTTGCTCACACCTACGGTGCCCGCAAGCCATCCCAGCTGCCTCTCACAAAATCCTGGTTACGCCATAGTCATTGCTACCTACTCCTATTCCGGCATCCAGAATATTTATCTACTAAAAGTGGAGTGTCCTGAACTACACTGTACATAATAATCATAAGTTTAAAAGTGGATGTTCATCGGCATAATTTGATTTAATTAATTCCGGTTTATGACCATATGATATATTAATTTATAACGGAATAAGCAACACAAGGATACGTTATTGCGTGATCCATTTCCGTTCATTATGGTGTGATATTTGGACGCGACCCATCCCAATAACCACCCAAGGCCCACTTTTTCAATATTTGCACAGGGCATTGTATATACTGACCTATATCTAGTCATTGAACTGGATACAAACCCACACGAATATATTAAATAACTCATTTAAAAAGGCTAGAGATAATATTTTAGAAACCTGGATGAACCCTCAATACAAATACATTATTATTGTATTATTTGCATTACCCCACCCGTGAACTAGTTTACAAATTACCGTATCTAAAGAAATGATTGAAAAGTGTACAAGCATATCGCATTCTCGGCGGTTTTCACAAACATGTTGTTTTTTTTTCTATCTTAAGGGGATTCACGTTTAAGTTTATATCAAACTACAGAACATACTTTAATATTATAAGGGGTCTCGTTATAGAATTTTTAAAATTTTAAATCGATAAAAATGTTATATTATGCCCGATATTATATAGATTTCGTGACACCAAGTTTTCCATAGAGAGATCTCTTCAAAAGATTTTTATATTTTAAATTTGTTAGTTATTGTCACAATAAATATGGACGATAAAGATGTTATTGTTCCCAATATTATAGGTGTGATGTCATAAGTCTTATTCAATTTAAATAATGTACCAGGATATTGAATCATATTCCTTAAATAAATATAAATTATTTTACTTACCTCGAAGACTTGGTATGGATCGAAACTGAAAACGTAAAAGAAACAACATTACGTATGTTAAATAATATCCCTAGTTTACGAAATGAATTGGGGTTTAATGTCCTGCTGTTCTGCTCCAACTGGACTAATTAAGACGTCCATGCGCCATACAGTGTGCTGTGTGCTATGAAGGAAATTTTTCCTGGACAGCGGCGCTACGAGCTACTTTTATATCGAATACAAATTGCCAAGGGATCATTACGTGAACGCCAATGTGTACATGGGACCTCGTTTTTTCGTCCCATCCGAACGACTAGACAACTGTTCCTGTCCGGCCCTCCGTCCTGCACCACTAGGGGAAACTATGTCGGAAAATCCCAATGAACTTTCTCGGCCAATGCAGGGATCGAACCTTAGCCACCGTGCCCCACCCCCTCCCGCTCCTTGTTTACCCTTCGCTAACGTCTTTAAAGATGCATTATGTAAGATTTAGACAAAGAGCCGATCATTCTCCATATAATACATGTAGTTCAAATAGATTAGACAATAGACAATATCTTGAAATTTCAGTCATTCTGAGCGACGTTAGGCCTCGTTGGAGAATAGCGGAGTCTCGGTTGTCATTGTTACCATTCTTACGATAGTAAACTAAGTCTCGATTATCCATTTTTAATTAAACCATTAACCACCATTAGTGTTTAAATCCGTTGAAAATCTCGAGCATCTAATGACATCGAGGGTTGATTACGGTCTTGGCAAGTTAATAAATGTCTAATGGATAATTCATTTAACGTCTAGGGCCTAAAGAAAGACCTGCAATAGGCAGATTTAGCTCTTGAATAATGCATCTTTAAATATAACAGTGTGCTATTTTGGTAGTCAACTAATTTAAGGAAATGAAATGTGGCTTTAAAACTATTATTTGGTAAAATGTTTAAATAGAAATATTCTATTTTTACACTAATAAAAGAATAGGCATTATCTGACATTGCTACTTTAAAAGAACGATCTTTAATCCTTTGTCCTGACTAGTATCATACACCAGGCAGGATATGCGTATTTCAACTACAATGTCAGATGCTACCCATATTTGCGATATTTAATAACTTGTATATTGGCTAGTATAATGCCCCAGACATGATATGCCAGATATCACCCATATATTTGCGAGGTTCACGGAGTTAATAGATTATGTTTACAATGGTATAATTTTATTTTATGCCCATCCTATTATTTGATATATCCCTTTACAAGTGTCTAAAATATAATAATGTAATAAAATACTTATGATACAGACCTATGAGAAGATCTAGAATATATTATTATTATTTATATGTAATAATATACTTGTGGTGAATATAACCACACATAATATCAATGTAGGTGAAATATAACCTCATAGGCATATGTGTCACAATGTAGGATATATGAATGAATGAGTGAAGGTTTTATTGCATCAAGACGGACTTTGAGCAAAGCATACAATATACAAGTTAAAACATTATGGATGGGCACTCACATAACCGGACAGCATAGAACCCACATACAGGGTACATATTATTTGAAAATTCAAAACAAAACGTATGCTCATAAAAATATATAATAAAATACCCTGCAAATTACATATCAGTTGTTTCTAAGCAAAAGAGAATTAAACAAAGGCTGCGACACTTGTGTCTATAATACTAGGTGATTGAATACGTTCACAGATTGATTGTGGATTCCATATTTAGATGGGAAGAGAGAGGAGAGGGGTGTTATTCTTTTAGGCGTGCTGTAGATCTTAACACTTGTAATATATGCAAAGCCATGAGCTTGATCGCGTGGCAAATAGTAAGGTGACTTTCCTAACCACGTGAATTTGTCTCTAAAGAACCCTCTTCGCAAATTATGTTTTGAATTAAATCTCTCTCTCTCTCTCTCTCTCTCTCTCTCGGTGAGTTAGTTCGTTACTCACTTACCCCGCCATTTGAACCCATGATAGACCTTGTGATCTACATGTAATCAGCCTGCGTTCAACCACATTGACTCTACTCTAACCCTTCCCACCCCATACAAAGGCAAACAGTTGATTAAGTATAATAATGGAGTCTAAAACCCATCAACACACACATACGGTTACGGCTTTTCTATGGTCACGTGTGCAATCCTAGCTATTAGAAGTTGGTCCGGACAGTCGCATTCCATATAATCAAAAACAAACCTTTTATCTTTTCGTAATAAATTTAAACTTGTTGTCCTCTGTCTTCGTCCACCTTGTCGAAATTTGCTGGACTGGAACCTCGACATATTGACAAATGTTAACGTTTAGTTGATATTTAGTTAATATAGAATCCCAACGACAAAACACAGGAAAATATAGGTCTCACTAGTATCCTTGTTGAATCAATCTACAATCTCACCAGAAGTAATACACGACAGTTTATATTAAAGTATTTACAAGTGCAGAAAAGTCCACTGTCAATAAATCGTATCATCGTTTCGTAGCAATATGCTACACTTGGCCTTATTTGGTTGACAAACACAGCAATAAACTTCTCTGCACGCTCCTCGAATTACGACCACATCTAAACATCTAGTCATTAAGAAACCAACTTAAAACATATAGATAAATTCCTGATCCCTGTGTAACGCCACGTTTAATTTCTTCCCTCACTGTTCAATATTGATGTCAACACATATTTGTCGAAGGTCATGCATATCAATCAACTTTGGCCATTTTTTCTCACAAAATTGCATTAGGAAATACACTAAAATACGCGAGCCTTGCTGAACGCCACGTTGCTACTTTCTGTCAATGTCCTCAGGTTTCTGTTAAGTCATTCTTAGTTACCTTTAAGCAACTTTCAGAGATAACGTTCTTTTATTCAAGTGTTTCAGTGCGCGAGGTCGTATTCTTGTTTGTTTTGTATCACCACGTCCTGCTATACTATATCGCTTACTAATATATAGCCCCGGGCCAAAACCTGTTTGGGATTTCAATAGTAGGGTGATTTATAAATAGATTATTCAGTTCGGCGGGATACTATATTAATGTCCGTCTAGGTGTCAAACGATTGTGTTAATCGGAGTGCCTTTACTGCTGTGTTAGCTACTTCGTTTTGGTAATTAATAATACAATAGTATGATGTATTATTAATAGTTTATTCACTTCGCCAAGATAGAGATGTACTATAATAATAATAATAATAATAAGTCAAGGTAAGTTCCTTGAATGACATTTTGAAGTAGAGGTATAATATTCATAATAACACAACTTTATGGATTTACTACTTCTTGGTTTATTACATGCAACGTTTCAATACTCTTACAGGTATCTTTATCAAGCAATGATCAATAATGAATAACAACTCTACATTTATAGTACATCCATGAGTAAGAACCATTTAACAATAAAAACATAACATTAATTAAGACTATAACAACAAACATTTCCCTTTGAGTATGGCTTTACCATTTTTCTTCAATCTAAGGTGTTAAAAGTGGGGATTGAAGCCACCGCCTAAGCTAAAATGCAATCAAAACCCATTAACCACACCATCAAATATTTATATGACTAATTTCAATACATTATGCATAATTAGTTAGGTTGAACCCACCCCCTCTTGCTCATACATTTACCATATTATTATATAGAAAATTTTTTAATTATTGTTCCAATAGAACAAATAAGTTATAGTAGCCCTTATAAATAATAGTTCCACTGATAAATAAAATTTTTAATTTCCACTCCACTGATACGAATAATAACTTATAGATCCACTCCACTGATACCTGTAAGAGTATTGAAACGTTGCATGTAATAAACCAAGAAGTAGTAAATCCATAAAGTTGTGTTATTATGAATAAGTCAAGGTGTCAAATGATTGTTTATCAGATTGCTTTTACTGCTGTGTATTTAATTGATAACATCATAGTATGACGTAATATTAATAAATTATTCAGTTCGAAGAAGTAGGGATGTGCTATATTAATATTAGGCTAGGTGTCCAATGGTTGTGTTTATCAAATTGTCTTTATACTACTGTTTTATCTACTTTCGTTTTGGTAATTGGTAACACAATTCACCAAATTGCTATAATTTTAAGTCATTCACGTCTGTCATAACGAAAACACTTTTATTGTAGGTGTTAATTTGATTTCTGGAGAATTTATTTACTGAGGCGAGTCTAAAATTAATTTCGCTTTTTTGAGGTAATAATAAACTGAATAGGAGATATACAGCGTGTTGCTATTATCTGCTAAAGATGGGGAAAATACGAAATGTTTTAATTAACTAGGAATATATTACGATATCAGCGAAAGATAATATTATTTTGAAGAGCCCTTTCAATGTTCAATGTCGGGATGCCTTATTGGCTGAAATCAAACATAACGTTATGTTTAACATTAATCTTAACAGAATACAATAAAAGTTACCACTAATATTAGATGTTTGTTCGAAATTATCGTACAGTCCGATTCACCCGACAGAGTTTCTTGAACATTTCATTTTATCAAAGTTTGTTATTATCAAAGTTTGTTATTGACAATTAAAACATGTCACACCCTTAATTCTTCGGCTCAAATATCCATATGTTCCACAACATAAATTCCTGACATTCAGCTAATGTCCACCACTTGAGTTTAGAAGAATTCGTTGAATAAATAGAAGAATATCTAAACCTTAGTCGTCGTTTTAAACTCTAAACACGAGAATAAATTACCAAATTAGATAAGTCTATTGTTCACTTTATAATAATATGCACCGAATTTAATATCGCCGTCAGACTTTGAATTTGTGCACTTCCAGGACGGAACTAGGAACGGAGAGTTGTGCCACTCGATAACGATGCTGGTTCGCTGCACTTCACTTCACCTTGCACGTGGTAGACCGAACATAAATAACAACATCCTTACCTCGTGAAAACAATACATCAAATACTAGTAGTAGATATTTAGCATTCACAGGGAGGTATGCATTACGAATATTTTAACTTCCGCTCTTATTTACATCGGTATGCGTTGCACGTATTCGTTATCCTCTAAACATATGCATGTATTATTCTGCCAACACGCCCTTGTGACTTCTTGATATATTTTTGTATACGCACAAATGTCATATATTGTTATTCCTCAAAATGGAGACGCATAAATTGAAGTGAATTAATTTAGGCTGATGCATGTCTACTTGTTGTATTTTTAGCGATTGTTGATGAAATGAGAATTAAATTAAATCGTCAAGCTCTAAAAGAAGAACATTTAATCTATTTTTGTACAAGTAACTGTAAATATAGTCGTTGAATAATATCCACAAGGTTTTTTTAAATATTATATCGAAAACCTTAAGTGATTGTTAATCGTCTTTAAAAATCATTGAATTAATCTGATTACAATATTACAGCGTACATGTTGCATATGTTCATGTATTTGTTAATTATGAACTCATAAATTTTATATAATGCGCAATTATTCATATATGTACTTATACAGTTTGTCCCTTTCTGTACTGCAATTATATATGATGTCATTTATGTACTACACGTATCTTACTATGTACTGAAATTACACAATTATGCAGTACAATCATAAATGTTTTCCATTTGTGTATTGCAAGTGTACATGTGTGTACTGCAAGTGCCCATTTATGTACTGCAAGTGTCCATTTGTGTACTGCAAGCTTCCATGTATGTACTACAAGTTTCCATTTATGTATACTGTAAGTGTCCATTTATGTACTGCAAGTTTCTATGTATGTACTGCTTTATATTTATGTACTGGGATATCCATCCATGTACAGCATTTATAAATATTGTCCAGTTATGTACTACAATTATCCATTTACGTACTGGGGCTATATTTATGTACTGCAATTATCGATGCATGTACTGCAAATTTTAACTGGAACCATCTGTTAAATAGTTCTAATCCCACTGTATTGTTTGTTCTGTCTGCTGATTACACTGTATTACTGTATGTTAAGACTGGTCTCTGTTGTTGCATGTATCTTGGTAAGACATGTCTAATTAGTCTAAACCGAGGCCAAATACTTTATATAGTAAATACGGAAATATACTTATCTCTATCACACATATATTTCCGATGTAGCAGCTGCTGCTCTTAAATGAGGATTTATTCAAATTGTAAACACTCGTTGCTAATCACGTATTTTAGAAAGAACACGTACAGGCAAATCGTACACGGCACTCGTCACCAATTACAACTAATTCTACAGACAAATCGTACACGGCACTCGTCACTAATTACAACTAATTCTACAGACAACCCATCGGTATCCACCGGAACTAAGACTAGTAATTGTTTCCCCCTATTTCACTTCTTCCTGGAAGTACACGTATACTCTATATCGTGCACAATACTCGTTGCGGGCTTGAATTTTGATTGTGAGCTGGCCATTATGTTAAGTTCATCAGTTTCTCTAAAGAAACGTGTAAGCAACTTCCCAATTAAACAAGACGTGGAACCAGGTGGTCTAGAACGTGCACAAATCCGTATGGAATAACAGAGCTACATGGTTTATCTATCGACAGTCCACATACATATGTTGCTAAACAACACAGTTAAAATATAATATTTTTAATACACCGCCTTGTTGGAAACAAGAGTATCTACATGGAATGCCGTCTGTGGTCTCGTTCGTATAACCTCGTCATTATCGATTAACAGTCTCTCCAAGAGTCACATCTTATTGCAGTTGTCAAAATTTGAAATTCAACCATATCTATATCCACTCCGATGTTTTGCTAACATGAGTTCAACCCAGATGAAGTTTATTTGCTTGAATGTCAATAATATCTAGGTCCAGTTCAACCAATCGTCTATCGGGCAACACGCAGGCCAATGTTTACAATAAAACCAATTTGCATTTTATTGTAGATCTAAGTAGGTATTATAAAATGGAGTCATTTATTTATGTTGAAAATAAAGGGGGTCAAATTGAGAAGCCTTGTCGAACTCCATTACGGTAAGGGAGGGTATTTTGTAAACCCTGGATTACATTAGTTGACGTTTTGATGTTTATAGATTATATACAATAGAAATGGAATGAAATGGGGTTTAACAGGGTCAATGAGGACGGGGATTAATATATATCCTAGAGTTTAATGACTAAATCGAGTTTTATTGCATCCACTGTTGAATAATTGCATTTACTTGAAGATATAAATGTCTTGCGTTATCAACACTTATTCAGAATCTCAGAATACGTGTATTAAATATAGTCCATTAATTCACAGTTTAATATTCCTGTTTAATTGGATTAATATTTCGCTTCCGATTAAATTGGATTAACATTTTGCTTTGTTTTGATAAATATTTCGATTGCTTTATTATGTAACCTAGTCGGTTACGTTTCTTCAAACCAATGCATTTTCGAATAGTAAGTGCAAGGGCACTGCACACCCAAAAAACAATTACACAAAACAAATTTACGGACAAAAGACAATACGCAGAAATCACAAAAAAGGTACATGTGGATTGAATAAAGGGAGAGAATGAGCATAATAATATACAATTATCTATGCGATACTATAAATACTAAAACTATATTGTCTAAATCAACTAGTATTCATTCGGACGGAAGCGTAAATCAGAAAATGGAAGATGTTGCTTATGATTATAAAGTCTTTATCAAGCAGTTTTCTCCGCGTCCTCCGGTTTCTCCCAAAGGAATTAATGAAATAAAACTGAACCATATGTTAGTTCCGAAATGACCTAGATTGAGTCGTGTGGACTTTAAACCACACTCCTCTCCCTCATTGGTCAAGAGCTAAAATGTGTGCTATGATTTTAGTGTCCAGGCAATAAATCCGTAATTTTGTATTTGAGTTTTCTCCGGTTTCTAAAGACCGCTACGCGCAAGCGAATCATTGAAATAAAAGTGAAGCATATGTTAGTCCCGAAATGACCAACTGTGTGTCGATCTCTCTCTCTCTCTCTCTCTCTCTCTCTCTCTCTCTGGGTCCCCCGGTTTTCTGACTGCTAATAACTGTATCATATTATGATAGTCCCTAAATGGCCTAGTTTATGTCGAGAGGTCGTGTTTAATGTATGTTTTGTGTTACAATAGTTGACAGGCTGTCCACATGGATGTACGTGTTGTACGGATATCG